GAAGGATGATTATAAACTTATAAAATCAAGCAGTAAACTATAAAGCTTGGGAATGGAAGTTCATGAAACTTACGATTGCCGAATTTTTTATATGCCAGTAAAATAATCCGAAAATATATAATTATTACAGTACGGAAATTTCACTCGAAAACAATGCAAATGCTGCTGCATGTATGCTGCACAAGCATGTAAAAATACCACCCTGTCACTTATTTTGGGTAAAAAATCTTTCTGGTATCTCGGTTTGACTTTTTTTTGGTTAGGAGAGTATGATTCGGTTATTCAGATCTCGTGTGTCGTTGAGATCTTGTCGAGGAATCATTGGAACAACCATCTCTTTCGATTCCGGCCTCTAGATCTTCGTATATCGACTAAAAATTTAGCATGGTTGACAACGGTCCACGAACACACAGTTATTTGGTCATATATATATATAGTATTTAAAGAAGACGGGGCCAGTAACTTTTTTGTAGACAAAAGTTTCAAACTTGGTTAAGAAAAGTATTATCGAAAATCTCATAGATACCTTCCAAAAGATATTGTAAAGCGACAATCAATTCTTTATTGTTAATTCCAATAAATTATAAATAACAAATGCTTAAATCGCTATTCTAATATGATAATACATGTGACTTCTCAACATCTGACTATGTTAAAAATGCTAAGAGTGTATATCTATTATATTTAAAAATAATACGAAAATGCTTAATATTACCCATATATATATTAACTAAACCAACTTAGGTGAATTTGCTGCAAACGCAAATAGAAGCCCAGCAATAGTACCAGCCACAGGAAGAGTTAAAATCCAAGAGAAGACGCACCACGCGACTAAAGGCCAGTTTATAGCTTTATGGCTACCATTACATAATCCAACTCCAACAGTAGCCCCGGTGATGCAGTGAGTAGTAGAGATAGGAAGCCCGAGCTTACTGGCTGTCACCACTGTCAGGGCGGCACCCAATTCCATAGAGAATCCTCTTGACGGCGAATGATATGTTATACGATTACCAAGCGATCTCATCACGTGATATCCATAAAGAATTAGACCCAGGTCGATGGCAACGCCTCCATATGCTAATACCCACAATGGAACGGGTGTTTTTCCACTTACATCTACTTTTGCACTATTCCAAACACCATAAGTTACCGATAATGGACCAATCGCATTGGCAACATCATTCGACCCATGAGCGAAGCTGGCAAATGTGGCAGTAAGTACTTGGAGGAATGAATAGAGATACTCGGTGTTTTCGTCATACTTCACAGCTTCTTCATGCATTTGCGCGTGTTCATGCGCTTTATAATCAGGAACAGACTTATTGACACCACGCGTAGCAAATTTTATAGACTTTTTCCATATTTTCTGTACGATTGTTAAATTCCGCCCTTCCTCTTCACTGTTAGCTTCGGCTGCAGTTGTTTCATCTTCTTTATTTTCAATTGTAACGTTATCTTTCAAATCAGTACCATTATTTCCACCTTCCTCAATTGCTGCTTTGTCAAACCTAGGACCGATAAATCTAATGACGGGAATATGATACCATCTGAGACCAGTTTCCTTATTCTCAATTAATCTTTGTAGCCATACAGAATAAAGGAGCCATGAGAATAAAGCAAAAAATACAGCTGTTCCTACTGTGAGCGGTGCAATAAATTCTGGACCTTTGTTTTCTAAAGCTAATGCAGGAGAGCCTTTGTAGACGATGTAGAGGACGTTAATCGCAATTGTAACTGAGAAGTAAAAAGGAATGGTCCGTAATCCTCTCTTGAATGAATTGGCGTTCAACAACACAGCGTATTTTGTTATAAGGTATATAATTGATGCGACTAGTGCGGCCGCCGCTGGTGATATGAACCAGGAAGTGACGATCTTGGCTACCCCATTGTAATTCCATATAATGGCGTCTGTACCGAATGCAGCAATGCCTACTCCGATGATGGCTCCAACGATAGAATGAGTAGTTGATACAGGAAGTCCTTTGGAGGAAGCAAATATGACCCATGAAGCCGAACCTACTAGGGCACATGTCATAGCCAACATAATCAGCTCTGGTTCCTTAGCGAAGAGTTTGACATCCAAAATTTTTGATCTTATAGTCTCGGCTGTGTGTGATCCAAGAAGGAACGCGCCAAGGAACTCAGTGAACACGGCAATGACGCATGCTTGTTTGAGCGTGAGTGAGCGGGATCCCACTGACGTAGCGAACGAATTTGCAACGTCATTTGCACCAATACCAAAAGCGTCAGCGAATGCGGCAATTAGACATATAACGAACAACCATGTAAATTCATGAATTTCCATTGTGGAGGGGCAGTAATGAGGTACTAAGATGTATAGATGCTGATGGAGATATATATATATATGTTTTATCTATACACAGTAACGCGGAATTGGTTTTTTAGATTAGTAATATTGTTTGTTTAATATATACTGACAGTATAATATTTGAAGTTAATCCGTACCTTTTTTTTTCGGTCCGAAAATGGTAATTTTGTGTCACTCCAATAACTCACATGCTTAAAGATTAGACATCGTTTAGCGATGTATTTTACTTGTTCCACAAGATTAAATCTTCGCATCACACATGTAATGCACAACTCGCGTAACTCGTAGTGAAGAGTCACGGTTAACTTGGTTTTCGCGAAAGATCGATTTGTTCCAAGAAAGAACAAAATGAGTGATTAAATTTATATTTCTAAGGAAAATTCAAAATGAATATTGATATTGCCATGTAGAAATTTTGATCCTTATGTCTTTCCCCCCTATGAAGTCAAAGTAGGACCGCACCGCACTGTCTATTGTCAGAAAAGATCAATTAAAAATTCTAAAACACGATTAGGAAATAATTTATAATTCAACATTGACCAAAATTTCTAGAATGCTACGATAATATACAAATCTGACTTCGTAAAAAGGAAGTTTCTAAAAAGAAATTCCATTGATATTGATACTCTCATATTACTCGCAGGACATGCAAGGTGCAAGGATTGAAAATATTATTTACCTCCCACGTACCACAGATTTTCGTGACATGGAAAATTCGATACGCCAACGCTTCACGTTCCGCAAGCAGGTCGAACGACCATCGGACACCGGCGAATCTCCTAAGAATTACGCCATCTTAACGGTTATTCTTCTGATGGATGCCCTTTATTAAATATACATCATTTCTTGTTAAATCCACTTTTAATCTCACTAGTAGATCCAGGATTACATTGTTGGCGTCACGGCGAGTCTGTCGCTAACTCACAGGCTTCGCGCAACGTCAGGAAAGGTAAGGCTTTAACTCGAGGCGGTTAACAACTTGGCCGGGCGTTTTACTAACTTCTTTTATTCTCACTATCCTCTAGGCCGTTCTTGAACTTCTATCTTGACTCTCAAGTCTACCAGCCTTACGCGCTTTTGTTCTCACGGGCCGCTCTCAAAGATACTTGTGTTTTCAAGAAGATTTTATTAAGCCGCGAATTTCTCACAAGGTAAGTTACGAGTTGAGTTATTTTTTATTCTTAAAACTATTCTCTTCCTGGTTGTTCTTAGTCCTATCTCCTATTTACAGTATATCCCTAAACCCGCGCTATCCAATTAACTAAATAGACTATCCGTTACTACGCGATCTACCCTTACAACGCGTAACCCGGGTTTATATGCCTGTAATAACAATAGTCTGAGTCCGAAATGATCGACATAAATCACTTAACAAATTTGATGCAATACAAGTTTTATTTTATTTATTAAAGTAAAAGTTTTTTATCTATATACAGTACATCAATATTGTGTTGGATAGCCATTTGTTTTAATAACATCAGCAACTCTACAAGGCATACTATCAACTAAATTAATTAAAATAGCAGGTTCAATTAAATTTCATTTCTTCTGCAAAGTAATTACCAATTCAGTTTTGTTTTTGAAATCATGTATGAATTCTTTTTTCTAAGATATCCCATAAATGCTCAATTGGATTAAGATCTGGACTTTGAGCAGGTCATGAAAATGATTGAATTAAATTATTTTCTTTCTATTCTTTTACTTGTTTTGTTCTATGTACAGGAACATTGTCATCTTGAAAGAAATATAAAGAATTATCAATAAAAAGTTTAAGATAATTTTAAGAACTTTTAAATATCTTTATATATTAATTAAATCGGAAATCTCAATTAAAGGTTCAAGTGCATTTTGTGAAAAACAATTCCATACTTTTATATCTTTTTTATCTGATTTTACAGTAAATAAAATACAATTTACATTATATTTTTTATAGGCTTTTGTCAAACCTATTTACATAAATCTTTCTCAAATATTAAATATTACTTCAAACAACTAATTGCCATTTAACAGCCTAACTTTTTTTTTCATTATACCATTTTAATCTTTTTTGTCTATTTTGTTCTAAAACAAATAATTTTTTAACTCCAGCTTAACCATAATAACTTTATTCATAAAGCATATAACAGATAGTCCTATTACTAACTAAAATAGTCATAGCAGTATTTAACTTTTTAATAATTTGTTTCACAACTTGTTAATGATTTTCTTTAATAATTCTGATTACACATTTAATTGTATAAGTACTTATAATTTTTTATTTACCTGACCATGAAACAATTTTAACTCTTTCAAACTTCTTATATCTATTAATCATACTCATAATTATTGTTTTTGATTGATTTAAGATTTTTACAATATTTTTGTAAAAACCTTACTTTTAAAAAAATTGATTATTTAATTACATTTAAAATCTGTTAATAGAAAATCTTTTTTCAATTTTTAAATATTTGATATTACAATAAGAAAAATTTTTTAATTATATATAAAAGTTATAACTTTTAACTTTCTAATAACACAAATTATTTTTTATTTATTTTTATATTTATTATACAATTATAATCTAAAGTCAGATAAAAAATTTGAAAATATTATTGTTAATTATTTCAAATATATACTTTTATTTATTCAATGTAAGTATAAAATATGTATACTATCAATACTATAAATATTAATAGAGATTTATTATTAAAAATAACTAATAGGATAATTGTTAAAAAAAAAAACTCTTATCTATTTACCACTGATTTTTTGAAAATTTCTTTTTTAGAAAATCTTTTTTCAAGAAGTGTCTTCCTCTCTTTACTTTTTAAGACAAATAAAATTTAAATCCAAAAGACATAAAGATTTCAAGGAATACTGTTGCATTGAGATAAGATCTTTAATCAAGACCTAAGCAAGTTAAAAGTCTTCATTAGCTCTTGGTTGCATGGGAAAAAACCTATAGCAGCCTTCTTTCATAATTTTTTATCTTTAACTATTTTTATCTTTATGACCATGATAACTATTTCTCTCTTACCTTTCACTCTCTATAATACAAATTCAACTTTAACAATACATTCAAACAAAGTTACTGGATCTAATGTTTGTTTTAATACAATCATTGAAAATTTATTATTTCTCTTGTCTATTTAAAAACAATACTACATATTATTTCTTTACTATCCTACAATTTTTTCAAATCTATTTAAAAAACCACAATCAGCTTCATCTCATCCAAAGATTTACATTTAACAAATGACTAATAAATATCTTCACTCCTTAACAACAACACCAAACTTGTTTAAACTTGTTTATAACCAATTTCTTAACAAAAATTCACACATCTAATAACAATTTTCCTATCAAAATACTCATACACTAACAATAATAACAACAATAATCACAATAACTGACAATATACTGAATTGAAAAAGTATATAACTGTATTCTATATGGGTTCCAGTAATCTTTAACTAAACAAGTACCAAAATAATATAACAAAATTGGAGCAGGCTTCATATCTGACTTACTATTGTCTTAACTATATCATTAACTTACAAATTACATAACTTTTCATAATTATTGTTAATAATAAAGTTGCAACCCATGAGTAACAATGCTACTATTAAAGAAAAAAGGCTACGTAAGCCTAACCAATGTGGATAGAAGTAAATACTTTCATTGCAAGTAGAAGTAAAATACTAGGAAGTTGTGTCTTTATAATCTGGCAGCTTAAGCCAATGCTTCTCTACTGCTACTGGAGTCATGTCCAGCTATCAAAAAGAAAGTGGTAACCTAGGTAGACACATTTGGTTTGTGCCTTGTAGAAGGAATTGTTAACACAAAAGATAATTGCATTCAAAACTTAATACTTACTATCATCACTTCAACAATTATTATTCCTAATTCCTTAACTATATGTGACTTTTGGCGAGTAATTAACCCTAACTTCAAATTAATGTATATAGCAACTTCATGTCAAAAACTTTCAATTTTCAATTTTCAATACTTTTATATTTCTTCACTTACATTATGACAATCTTGCTCCTCAAATTTTATATATATATAATTTATTTTGTTCTTATATGTAGATAGTTCCTTTCTTAACTTTTTTTCTACTCAAGAGTTTTTTTATTAGAAATATATCTACTATAATAGGTGGTAGACTAACATTAGGAAATTTTTTGAGTGGAGGAACTCTGCATATCTCTGCCGTCATTAGGAATTTCCAGAGAATCAAAAAAATATATATAAATTTTGAAAATCTCTGAAAATTTATTTCCTCCGAAGATTTTCAAAAGTTTTCAAAAGTTATTAAAATATTACAAACATTTGTGAAAACCTTTAAAAATCTCTGGAGAAAATAAATTTTCGGAGATTTTCGAAAGTTATATATATTTTTTTGATTTTCCGGAGAT